GGGGGGTTGGGGTTGGGGTGGGATGAGGGGTGATCTTTATGTAGTCGTGGGAGCTGTTTTGTTTGGTTATGGTTGTTGTTATGTTTAAGGGTTTTTAAATGTTTTGTTTTTGTTTGGTTGTTGTTGTTTTTAGCGCAAAAACTCTGCGACGAATTAGATCTGCTGACTCGGTCAAAGCAGCCTTCAAAGAGGTCATTTGGTGCATGCATCGGTAAGATCGATTATAGCAACTTGAAACTGGATACGGTAGGTTAATTATTTTCCCCACTAGAGTGCGTGCGCGGAACTGAGAGAGGAAATAGAGCTTGAGTCGACGATGTGTTCATCCGAGAAAAATTAATCATTATTAGTTCTTCGTTCTTCAATTTACATTCATCTTGTAAGAAATTCTTATGTCGAAGAAGTCGTTACAAACAAAAAAAGAGGTGGCAATTTTTTTCGATGCTGCTGCGTCGAACTATTTTTGACCCTTCATTCAAGCTGAGGTGTTACCATTATTAACGTTTGTGCAAACATGATGAAAAATGCTCATTCGAGAGAGATTCAAATGAAGCCATAAAATGATTCCTCGCTGAAGTGTTTCCATCAGAAATGTTTGTACAAACGAAATTAAAATGTTCGTTAAATAGAGATTCAAACTTCAAACAGAGCCATAAAGTCATTCATCGCTAGGTTGTTTCCATCATTAACGTTTGTGCAAACGAAATGAAAAATGTTCATTCTAAAGGAATTCAAACAAAGCTATAGAATTTGACCCTTTTTTTCAAAAATATACAACAGCACAACTTATTTTCCCTTATTATAGACCCCTATTTTCAAAAAAAACCCAGCAGAGAATCAGTTATGGAGAACCCAAGCATGTGCATACGTCAACATCAGGGGTGAATAATGTAAAAAATCACCAGCAATCATAACAATGTATGTATAGTGGAGGGGAAGTAACTTTTGCACAAGACAATACTATTATTTCCCCTTCTCGCTACCTCTCTGATTTGAATACTCTCTGACGTGTATCGATGCAAATTTTGTTAAAGCATCCAGAACTCTAAATCTGAGCATTTAATATAATACATTTTCCCATGATGGTTTGTAAAAGGCCCACCACGACCTACGTATTTATTTGTTATTATTTTATTTCATTTATCTATTTATTCATTTATCTATTTACTCATTTATTTTATCTATTCAATGTATTGCAATTAAAGGGAGAGTACACGTTGTAGGTCCAAGTTCTTTTCTTTTCTTATTCTGTTTCTGTCTATCTGTCTGACATACTTTTACCCTTTGCGAAATGAACGTTATTATTCTAGAAGGTTTCTCTTTACTCAAGCAAATTATTCATCGATTGATTTTAGTTGTACATTAAAAATTGCATACTTACTTTGTAAGTTTGAAGCATAAGTATTCTAGTTCTATACTACCTGAAAAGGACGTTACTAAGTCAGTGCTAGCTCTACATATGTGGTGCAAACGCCGTTACATATAAACCTTACCTACAGGTGGTGCAACTAAAGAGGTAGACACCAGCTAGTTAACTCATTGACAACGGGCGTTCTGGCTATTTGACAACACATGAATATGTACTACTGTTTTTGTGGGGTATAACTTCGGTATTCAAACCGGTTTTTCGATTGATTTCCTTTATCCGAAACTTAAAAAGGCTTGCAACAATATGCGTACTATACTGGTCGGAGGGCGTCACTGGAAGGTCCTTCTTCTTTTCTTTCCCTCTTTTTTTCTGTCTATTTGTCTTATTTCTTCCCTGCACTGTAACCTGACCGTTACTGTGTCATTGTGCTTCTTTTTTACTCAAACTCAAAACTCTTTGTTCAACAAAAAAAACCGTGAGTGGTTGACGGTGCTTTGGTATGGTTTGCTCCTTCTTTCCTCTCAAACGTATGTCGTCCTGATTATTCCTCCTTCATTTGTTTGTTTGTTACTCTCTTTAACACCTCTAATCTTCGGTACTTATATGACGTGATTGTATTGCAAATGACGTAAGGTTCTTACAAAAACAAAACCTCTTTTACCACCTCTAATCGTCAGTAATTTATGGCCTAATTGTCTTAAAAGTTTCGTGAAAAAAAAATTACTAAAACAAACTAAAAACGCTTTGTTAAATGCTTACTAAAACAATTTTTAAAAACACTTTGTTAAACGCTTACTAAAACTAAACTAAGCTCAAAACTCGTTCCTCAAAAAAACAAATTTTAACCCGCTTTGTCCGTGTGCCTAGGTGATGTACCTATCCGCCCGAGCCAGTATCCGAGAGCTGTTCCTCCTGACCGTGGTGATGGGCTCGGCTGTTCTGCTGTTCGGGACGCTCATGTTCCTGGTGGAGGCGCTTCACGGCTCAATGGGCGAAACAGCCACCTTCGACAGCGTGCTGCGAGCCATGTGGTGGGCTGTCATCACCATGACCACTGTAGGGTGAGTCGTTGTATGCTTTGAAGGTGCATGTGCAAAACAATGTGGGTGGTTGGGAGGCGCCACTGGTAGATCCTATTGTTTTGGAGGAGCAAAATAACAGGGGTGGTTGGAGGGCTTCACTGGTAGGTCCTACCTGCTTTTGAAGGAACGAAATTACACGGATGGTTGAATGGCGCCACTGGTTGATCCTGAACTAATGGGGTGGTTGGATGGCGCCACCGGAGGTCCTACCTACTTTTGAAGGAACGAAACAGTGGAGTGGTTGGAAGGCGCCACTGATACGTCCTACCTACTTTTAAAGGAACAAAAAAAACACGGGTGGTTGAAGGGCGATACTAGTAGTTTCTATTTTTTAAAAGAACGAAATGAGACGGGTGGTTGGAAGGCACCGCTTGTAGGTCCTGTTTTTGTTTTTTTGAAAGAGCAAAATAACAGAGGTGGTTGGAGGGCGCCACTAGTAGGTCCTACTTCTGTTGTTTCTGTCTGGTCCATAGTCCAGAATGATGCAACTGAGCTCACGGAGCACCCAGGCGCCACTGAAAGGACCATTGTGCCGACTGGGGAGGGGGGCGTAAAACGCCTACATTTTGAAAAAGGGACCTACTTCTTGTCTTTCCCCTGACTTTTTTAAAATTCTTTTTTCAAGCACAAGATGACCATTATCGTGACGATGTGCTTCTCTTTACGGCAACTTAATTAAACAGTAACGCACCAATGTATCTCACCCAATGCTTTTTTTACTCCTACCTCGGATGTTTTGGGAAATTAACAATATGACCATGATAATGAAAATGACAGTCTTGATTTATCTGGTAGGGAAACACTTGTCTTGGTCGTATACAATGGTAGGGGTGTTATAATGTCCATGTGCACTCACACATGCACACAACAAAGGCAGCCGGGAGTATAATATACTTCCTAGTCTCGGATGATTGCGGTACGGTTGACCTTGACCCAATTAGATCGAATCCCTTACAGGGTATTTTTGCTCCATGGACCTGGGGTTGAATCAGCCAGCCCCAAAAGCCTATAACACCAAATACTAGGGCTGTAGAGGAAGAGGTAGGCCACGCGAAAGATGGATTGAGGGAGTCATGGGAACCCTGAGAAATTACAACATCCCAAAAGAAAGAGCTGCCCTATCATAAAAACTGCATCTCCCCCTCGACGCTTAGGGGTAATAGTGGATGAAAAAGTAATAGTAAAAGTAAGAGCCTGGGTTGTTTGGAGAGTTTTCCAGTCTCTCCACCCACATGTCCCTGTACTATCGGAGATGGACGTTTGATACAAAAAAATCTGATCTCATAGATGAACTTACGATGTTGAAAGAGGCGTTACATTCCCATCATGCCATATCATACCGACACCAATGTGACAGTCCTTTCGGAGAAGGGCGTTAGACTCCGAGGTCTTACCTCCTAAATAGTCTAATAGTGTTGATAGGGGAGTTAAAAAATACACCATTTCATTACTTTTTTATGTACCATTGTGATGTGTACACGTATTTAGACCGTCGTCTGTGGTGTAGCTTTGAGATGTTTTCCCGTTGCAAGCAGTAGAGACCCGATTTCTGTTCCAGCGTGGGGAGAATTTTTATCGAGTATTTTGGTCTTTCTGTTGGGACGTCGTATCCTTCTCAGCCTTGTTTGGGCATGGCAGGAATGGTCGAAGCGCGCCCCCCTAAATGATCTAAACTGGGCCCTTTGGGGCGTAAAACACATGTATTAAAAGTAACCGCACATGTGTAGTCGGATCGGGTCCAGAAATCAGACTGGTAAGTCCACTCTCATCACACGCAAATCGATATGGTTGAACAGTAAGACTGTTATGATAGGTGCTCTCCTGCAGAATTTCTCCACAGTGACTACATGTACATATTCATAGACACTCATCTTTGTCAAAGTATGATCATGGATGGTCGTAGGTCGCCGATGGTGGTTCTAACTCCTTTGCTTTACCTCTATTTTTTTCTCTGTCTGTTTTGATTTTTACCAGCTCTAAATGGTCCTTTTTGTCCCAATGTAGATCTATTTCTATTTACTCAGAAGAAAATAATAATGCACAATGTACGTAGTGTTGAATGGTAACTGCGCCTTTATTCTGAGAGGATTCTAATTGTGGAGAAACCATACGAATATAGTTATCATTATTATTGAGGCAACAGTCATCTGTTCGCTATTTTTGTCAAATAATGTGGAGTCCGGTTAGATTTAAATACAATGTATACTGGATTGCCGGATTTTTTAAAGTTTAGCCGTGTTTTCGGTTTAGATAGGTTGTTCCAATAAGGAGAAAAACAATGTGAATTATATAGTTTTCTTTTCGTTTACCACTATTTTTGGATTAAATGGTTTTGGTTTAAGCGGAATGATTTGTCTTTTTCTATCATAGAAGGCATTCCTCCTGAATTGAACCTGCAATTGGTACTAAAACAAGCACATGAAATTTGTTCATGGCCAATAGAATCACAGAGAAGTACATGTATACTCAACGTGGTAACCACAATCACGCAGATCTCACTAAAACGTGGAGATTTGGAATAAGTGTACATCCTTTTCTGAAATAACCAACAGTGTTTATGGAGTGATAAAACGTGCGATACTCAAACCATCTTTTCCCTCGTGTGTTGGCAGGTATGGAGACTACTACCCTACCACGCCTGCCGGCTACGTCGTCGGGACCATCTGCGCTCTCACTGGCTTGCTGCTCGTCGCTATGCCCATCGCCATTATTGCCAGCAACTTCTCCGACTTCTACGACAATATGACGTCACGGGACCAGTACATGCGCAGACAAGCCCTTGCCAAGAAGGTGCTCTGTTGCACTTCAGGCGGTTGCAAAACGCACGGCGGAGTTGAAACGAGTGACTCTGATGGCGCTGGCAGTGGAGAGCTTGTAGGGAAGGAGGGAAAGTCTGGACCGTTCACAATCTCTTCAGAACTTGATATCCTATCCACTGATATGTGGACACAACCTGATGTGAAAGCTAAAAAGACTGAAAATGCAGGCTTAAAATCCGAGCAGAAGAAGGGAAATGATAAATTGCAGGATAACAACAATATAGATTTGATCTTAGACGATATTGATCAGGAGATCGACGATTCTAAGCCAACAGTTAAAGAAACTCGGGCTACGACAAGCCATAGTTCTTTGCAGCAAGGAAAAAACAGAACTTCACGCAGAGGTGCAAATGTTAATGCCTCAAAAGAAATGCAATCGAAACATAAAGTGCATCCTATTGCGTGATAGCTACTATCCAACCAAAACAAGATTTGTCTTTCTGTCGATCAAATGGTGGCTGTAAGTCGCCACCGACGGTTTCTACTTGTTTGCCATCCTCCTACTTTTTTGCTATCCTGCGCCGTGCGTTTTGCAACCGCCTGCGGGTATATTCAACTTTCCCTGCACTACTGGCGTAACTAGGTCGAAGTGCTTCTCTTCACTCGGATAAACCAACTCCCTGTGTTTTGACGGATACATCTTTAGTGGTGTAATGGTATTGGTTCTTTGCTTTGCTCGCAAAAGACACGAGTTCGAATCACGCGAGAGGAAGTTTGTTGTGTTGAGTCGCATAGTCTTTCAGCTAAATTCATATTTTATATCATTCTGCCAGTGTTGCTTCTGACAGACTTGGTCGATACATCCCGCCTCCATGCGCAATAACCGTGTATGGAGACATGAGACATTAATATGCATTATAATATGACTGAGATCGTGCCAGTAAATCGAAGCAAGTAGACAGTTAACGATCATGTTTGAGTACTTGTGGTAGTGTGTGCCGTGCCTCTATATTGTATTGTTTGTTTTGTTTGTTTTTGTAAAGTGTTTTACGGCGCTCGCAACTGCATATGAGCGCGCGGGACACACTTAATATTTTCAGTTGGTAGGAAATTTTGAATTTTGCCCGGGTGGCGGCCGAAGCTTACTCTTATCGATTTTAGACCACCAAGGGATCCTTAACGTGCGCAACTTGCACACGGGCCCTCCGAGATTTTTCGCCCTTGTCCGAGAAGGCTAGGTGTAGATCTTTCCTACCAGAAGATCAGGGATGTGGCAGAAAGACAGCAGTAAGGAGGAGCCAAGGAGTAGCAGTAGAAAGGCTGCAGAAAGAGTCAGGAGCCCAGAGGAGGGGGCAAAGGAGGTGAGGGGGTGGGGGCAGAAAGTGGAAATGAAAGCAGACAACAGAACATTGCTAGAGAGCAGGAAAGGAGGTGAAAGGAGACAATTTTAGAGAAGAACATTTTTCGGTCGCTACCCGGATTCGAACCCGGGACCTTTGAATGAGAAGCCAACACCTTAACCTCTAGGCCACGAGAGCCCCCCTCTGTATTGTTTGGAAGAAGAAGAAGAAGAAGAAGAAGAAGAAGAAGAAGAAGAAGAAGAAGAAGAAATCATAAAAATAATACTAATCATAATCATAATAATAATAATCACAATAATCATAAATAATATCATAATTATAGATCGTCCGTCAATGTCTGAAGATGACGGATGCATTTGCAGAGGAGACTATTTCTGGAAAGAGAAATAGAAGAAATGTTTCAATCTGACCATTTTTGACAGTCCTGCTTTCCCTCTTTCTCTCTTTCTCTATCTATCTATCTATCTATCTATCTATCTATCTATCTATCTATCTATCTATCTATCTATCTATCTATCTCTGTCTCTCCCTCATTCTCTCTTTGTTTCTCTCTTTCTCTCTCTCTCCCTCATGCTCTCTTGCTCTCTCTCTCTCTCTCTCTCTCTCTCTCTCTCTCTCTCTCTTTATCTCTTTGTATGTGTGTTTGTGTGTGTGTGTGTGTGTGTGTGTGTGTTTGTGTGTGTGTGTGGTTGTTTTTTTGTGTGTTTGTGTGTGTGTGTGTGTGTGTGTGTGTGTGTGTGTGTGTGTGTGTGTGTGTGTGTGTGTGTGTGTGACAGTTAGGGTGTAACATTGTGCATCCTGTTGCAGAAAACTAACGGCATCGATAATTAAGTCTTTGGATTAATTAAATTGCCTTTCCTTGCGTCGCACACTCACTGCAAATGAAATTTTAATATAAAATGCATAAGGGTGTATCAGTGCTTGTCTGCAAATGCAAATGATTGGATGGCACCACTTGTAAGTGTTACTATTTTTTCCCTTTTTTTTTTTTTACTCTTCTTCCGATGTTTATGCCTATCAGCCTTGCTTTTGCTTAGCACTAAATGTCCGTTATTGAGTCAATGTTCTTCTTTTTTTTTTAACAAAAATAAACAAAAACAAGCGCGACTTACTAGATCTATGTGATTATGAATGGGTGTGTGATTGGAGGTGATACTGGTAGGCCCTGCTTCTTATTTTCAGCCGGTAATTCGAAGTATATTGGTAGGTTCCGTTATAATAAGTGCACACTGCCAAAATTACTTGGTCGATTTCCTTCGAATTGAATCGGGGCTAGCCAGATTGTCTTCCATGGAGGGGCAAAAACTACGGTTGTGGCACAGTTCGAACGAATTCGATCGTGACCTTCAAAAAAGAAACATGTTTGTTTTATAAGGTGGCGAGCAGAAGGATCGGATGTGTACTGCGAGCGTGCGGAACGCGATATGGGGGCAGTGTAGCTTTAAAGTAGCTGATACTGATAGTTCTAGTTCTAGAAAGCTATCGACATCCCCCATGTCTATAGGATGTGCTGAGAACCTCAGCAGAACAATCGAGCTATGCGGCTGTTGGCACTTGAAGCCGTTATGGAAGGAAATGGCTGGGTTGTGAACTATAACACCACCGCATGCCTGTCCAAGTATTCTCTTGTCTGTCAAATTTGACACAACAAGGGATGAATCTATACGTTATTCCCAGTGCCCATTGGCACGAACGGTTCGGTTTGGTTTGATTAGGTAGGCGTGGCTAGCCAGATTGAGGGCGCAAAGCAATCATTCTGATGCAAACCGATCCCCCATTGGGCACGAGGTATATATAATGTGTACTGAAACTGCCAAATCGACCGGATTCAATCCGACTCGGGATCCGCAATAGGCACCCGGTATAACAAAGCGGTACTGCCGGACCTCCACTACAATGCTGTACTTTTGGGTCACGACGTGGTGGAATCGGGCGCTCGTAAAATATTGGACATGTTGAGCTATTGGTATAATCTTAAAGCCTGTTCATTTGCCTTGCCTTGGAGGAAAAAATACCCGTCTATCTTGAATAGAAATCAAGATATTTGCGATTGAAATAAGTGGGGGTTGCCTGTTTTCAATGGTTAAATTAGCCAGAAAATGGCAGCCAAAATTTGGTAATTTCAATGGGTTGAGGGTAATTGAAAACTGAATATGTTCTTATTTTGTGCCTTTAATCAACATTATCCAATATAATTCACATGGAAGTGCGTTGATGTTATATGGACGTATAAAGTGTTGAGCCAAAAAAGAATTCGGTAAAAATTTCCAAACTGGCGGGAATTTGCCTGTCTCTTTGATTTCATTATTTTGACGAGCGCTTGATTTCACCACAATGCTCTACTTTTACTAAGCATGTAATGTAATGCTCATAGCCTGGTTTTATGCTCTGTGTGACAATACTTGTACTTCAACGCTGCACAATCTCGCTCATTGATTTAGAGTTAAGCTTCCGCCACCAAAGACGAGACAGCGATTTCTCAGGTGCCTGTCGAATAGCTATTTTGCTTTACCTCTTTAAGACCAACCAAGAACAACCCTTCACCTTTTTGGTTGTCCTGACTCCAGCTTTGAAATCTTTAATTGGTATATTGGTATTACTGCTGACAATTAAAACTATTACATTCCGTGTATATGTGCAAGCTTCCCAAATTTGAATTAAAAAATTATTTATATTACTTTTATTTGCTTTCGAGTTGGAACGTTTTTGGTTCAAGATAGCGGGGGTCTGGGGGCACCACTGATTTGACGTTCTTCTTTTCTATCCCTCTTCTGTTTCTGTCGGTTCGTCCTGCTTTTTCCCCCATAACAAGATTACCGTTATTGTGTCGATGTGCTTTTCTTTGTTCAATTAAACAAATCAAACATGGTTCTATCACATACAAAATGAACTGTAAAGTTGACAAAGTGGAAGTTCTAAGGACATGAGAAACTCTTGTTGTTGTTTTGTTGTTGTTGTTTTTTTTTGGGGGGGGTAAATTGTATCGATTCAATGCCCCTTTCAACACTGTAGAGTTATTCAAGAGGCAGGGCCTCCAACTGTGACGTCCACCTCCGACAGTATCAAAATGAAAGGATGGCGTCATAAAAACTCTTCAAAATAACTCAAATAACCAAAGTTCAGAACGCCCAATGAAGGATTCGAACCAGAACCAGGGCCATCCACTCTGTAGTCCAGCACGATACCAACTGAAAAATCGGTGCTCCCAACTGACAGCTGATCACCTAGCAGCTTTGACCAAATACTTGTTGGCCCTTCCCTCTTTTCTCTCCCTCTGTTGTTTCTGACCGCTTGACTTGCTTCTCCTGGCACTATTCGACCATTATCGTGCCACTTGATTCTCCTTACTCAAAACCTACAAACAAAATACTTGTTGCTAGTAGCGTGGAGACAAAAGGCGCTTGAGACTTAAACACTGACAGACAATGACAAGAGGCACCTCTTTATAATGAAAATATCGTGCTCCACATTCTCTACCTCTGACTGTTTGCCTTGATTTTCCTGTCACTATTTTGATCATTGTCACGTCAATATATTCTCTTTCTATAAAAAGAACTGAACAAACAAACAAAAAGCACTCGTGGAGAGGTAGCATCGTGACCAAAAGGCACTTGAGGCGTTAAACATTTACAGACAATGACAGAAGGGACCCCTTAATAATGAAAATACTCATGGTGGGCTCTACCATTTTTCTTAACTTTTATTTTTCGACAGTCTATCCTGCTTTTACACCGGTGTCTGTGGTGTAGTAGTAAGGCACTTTGCTGTCGTACAATAAATACACGAGTTTGATTCTCGTCTGGGAGAATTTTTATCCAGAATCTCCGTCCCTGTGCTGGGATGTGGCATCCCTTTCAGCCCGGGTCGACCTTGTCAGGGTCAAAGCAGATTGCCTTCTTTTTCTATTCTAAATTTTGTCATGGCATTACAAATCTATGAATACAACGTGAGAACTCTGAATGCTAGCTTTGCCTAAAAAGTAGATGTTGAATAAAATTAATATGTATGGTGCTTGTGATTTTGAACATGAAATGCCGTGCACCTATAACAGAAGTGAAAGAAAATATTCTAAAATAGTTATGTCCTTCTATGAGAGTAAGTGACC